TTTCAGTGAAATATTAAAAAATTAGCAGCAGCTACAGACTCTCTCTACAACACACCAGCTTTACTCTATGTGTAAGTGAAACCACAGAAAAACAGGATTGTCCCTTTGATTGATCCCCTCTTTCCTTCTTGCATGTTCTGAGTCTGCCCCAGGGCATCCTCCCAGTTGGACAAGACCCCAACAGCTCACCCAGGACCTGCAAGCATCCTAGCCAGATGCTCAAACCACCCCAACTGGCTCCTTTCTGATGTGAGGGAGTAGAAGATTTTCCCCGACAAATAAAATTTGGAATAAAGAAAAACATCTAAGAAATTATTGGATTAAATCTTTGAATTCAGTCCAGGGTTAGGGCTTTAAAAAAAAGAAAAGAAAAAAAACAGGATACACACTTTAATGAGCTTTGGTTTTTGTTAATTTAGGAATGAGACAACTGTAGAACATAATAGCTCTAATAATACAGGTTCTAATAATAGTTCTGAATAAAAAACCTCTAAAGAACTCACAAGTCTTGCATGTGCATGTTAAAAAAAACAACAACATATTATCAAAAATAAATCCACCTGCAATGTTATATAAAAAAAACTTTAACAAATCCTGCACAGTAGATAGGATGAGCAGCCAATAAGCATCCTCACTCAACTGTTTATAGCCACCAGTGAGTCAGTTTAAGTTGATTTATAAAAAGGATCTCATACTGATAAGCGGAACGCAAGTGAAGCTTTCTTAATGCATATTGTCGCTAAATGTCCTCATAAGGAAAACCTATGTTTGATTGTGCACGTCTTTCCCTGATGTCATGCACCTTTCACTGAGGACGCACCAGCTGTGACGTTGTAGACCAACACCAGTGCTGTGAAAAAGAATTCACCCCATTTCCCAACATCCTATTTTTTGCATGTTTGTCACAAATTTTAATATTAGACAAGGAAACACAGAGAAGATGCAAAATACAGTTTTTAAATGATGACATTTTATTTATTACGAGGGGGAAAAGCTATCCAAATCTGCTCGGCCCTATGTGAAAAAGTAACTGGACCCTAAACCGTGTATCTCAATGATCCCAAAGTATCTCAAACTGATTTCAGTTCAGGCTTTCACTAGACCACACCAAAAGCAGGCTCATTTTTCTGCTGTATAACCCGAGGGTGCTTGAACTTCAAGCCATGAACTAATGGTTGGAGATTCTCATTCTGGATTTTCTAATAGAAAGCATCAATTACACCAACTCGTCCTGGTGCTGAAACAACAGAGCAGCACCAGACCATCACAGTACCACCACCTGTTGCTATGATATTCTTTTTATGCAAAGCTCTGTTACTTTAGGCAAGATGAGCCTTTCTTTGTCATCAGTGGTTTTCTCCTTGAACTCTCCCATGGATGCCATTTTTGACCAGCCTCTTTGTTATTGTTCAGTCGTGAACTCTGACCCTAACTGAAGTGAGGCCTGCAGTTCTGTAGAAGTTCTGGGTTCTTTTGTGACCTAATGGATGAGTCACTTGTGCGCTCTTAGAGTAATGTTGGTAGGCCGACCTCTACTGGGAAGGTTTGAAACTGTTTCAAGTTTTCTCCATTTGCGTATAATGGCTCTCACGCCGAAGGCCTTGGAAATTACTTTGTATCCCTTTCCAGACTGATGGATGTCAATTACTTTGTTTGTCAGTTGTTTCTGTAGATTGTGGCTTTACTCGTTGCTATCTGAGATCTTTTAGCCTATTTCCCTTTGTCAGACAACTTATAGTTAAGTGAAGTTAAGTCTTGATCCAACACATCTAGCAGTAATCAGGCCTGGGTTTGGGTAGTGAAACTGAACTGAGGTTTTCTTTTTTAAATGGGGTTATTCACAGTTAATTCATAATTTATCAAGAGGATAATAGAGGGAGGAGAGGTTGTATATATATTTTTTTTCCACATAGGGGCAAGTAGATTTGGACAGCTGCAATTTTACTTATCTTTGACTAACACATGAAAAACAAGTTACTAAGTTGGACAGAGTCACAACGATGTGCACAAATATATTCTTGTTTTATTTCGTGTTGTTATTATTATTATTATTATTATTAAAGTGATCAGTACCAGAGGCCATGCGCCAAACTGGAAGCGCTTGGTCACCACTGATCCAGTGACCCCGACATCTCCGCTATTCTCAAGTTCTCATGTGTTTGTCCTTTATCACAACACAGGAAGCTCTCTTCACACAAACGTTGTTGTTATTAAAAATGTGCCCATTGAGCACTTCACTGTCCCAGACCTGAGCTCCAGTGTCAGCGCGGTCCGGCTATACTTATCACTGCAACTGTCAGACGCACTGTGGGCCTTGACGCTGACACCATGCAGCCAGCCCTATTTGGACACGGCTGTTGCGCCAGCCTGCCACTTTCACCAAACACCATTCATTCATTTTCCAACACTCGAGACAAATAACGGTCGCTCGTTTCTCCGTAGAAACTACCAAACGGACCGCTAAAGCTTGCTCAAACTCAATTGCGACGACGAACCGCTAAATCCAAGCGAGCTGAACAGGCACTTTCGGCGGAGACGCAGTCCTATAAACAGCAACACACGCTTACGGTTTTTTAGGGAGCGGCTATAACTTCACTGCTTTTCTTATTAATAGGCGACAGGGGCGGAATAACGCACGTACCCGGCGGTCATGGCGATGTTGTAGAAAGTGAGCCATGCGGTAGCGAGGGTGCTTTTCGTTCTCTTTTTGTTGTTGTTTTCCTTTTCCTCAACCGTGCCGTCCTCCTCGCTGGACGCCATGGTACCGGGGGCAGGGTGGGGAAGTCAGGAAGGGAGCTGACAGCTGGGGCTAGTAGGGAGGGGAGCAGCGGGGTTATCCATCCATCCATCTATCTAGCTATCCGCCCATGGATCCCCCTCTCGCGGGACTAGTGCAACAAGTGCGTGGCCTGCCGGTGAGGCAAAGACTAGTGAAATAAAGCCGGCTTGTCACGGCTCAGTTGGTGCAACTATAGAAATTCAGGCTCATTTTCACCCCAATCTTCAGCTCAGCGTGAACAAGTTTAGGTACACCTTTTATAAATTAGATAACATCACATAAGACAAAGAAGAGCAATTTCATCAGTATGTCTCAGTTTTTCTACACGATGAAGAAATGTTGTAGTAAATGAAAAAGACCTGTCAGGATGATTGTTTGGACTTAAACTGCAAGAAGTAAAGGTGTAAAATTGCAGACATAGATAATGTAATTATAAATGTGTTGTGAATGGCCATGGCCAAAGTGTTTATCAGTAGGAAAAGCTGTAAAACCTGTGAAAATATAGTTAAACCATCAGAAATTTATGAACTGATGGTTACTTCAGAAGGCCTTGATGGGCTGATTCTGGCCCCCAGGCCTTATGTTTCACACCCCTTGGTATGTATCCCATTGAATTGTGTTCAGTATACCTCAAATTAGTTTAATTAGTTTTATTAACTAATTATTGATGTAATAAATCAAAGTGATTTAGTGGTAATTAAAATGTGATCAGAAGTTAAAAACTGATGATGATTCATGTCATCATAACACACTGTTCACCCCTACATAACCCCTACATGAGTCTCAGTAAAACTACTGGTATCGGCAACACTGGCTTTGTATTTACTTGGTATTACCAAAGTATGGATACCAAAATTTGCAGTATCATACATTTGGCCTTGACTGACAGGCCACAGTTTTACCACATGTCAAGCACATTTTGACATACTCTAATGGGGCAAGTTGCCAAAAACAGCCCTGATTAGATAGCGAAGGTATCTGCTATCTGCTATGTGAGCCTTGATCTTCAGGATTTTAAGAAAATCCTATACAAATGCAAATAAAAAACAGTTTTACTGACTTTGAGCTCAGGGGTCTGTACTTTCAGTCTAGTCTTTTCACAGTTTCTTTATTTATTGTTGATACTCAATAATTTGATGAAGTACTTGAATGATTAAGATACAACATTTTGAATCGTTTCAAATTTCATTGGCATTGCACAGGACTGTAATTGCTTGGGAGTATACAGGTATCAGCCTGTACTGGACTGAGTTGTGCTCTCATGAAGGAAGTGCTTCAGAAACCGCGTCGATGCAGAATCTAAAATTAGCTCTTCTAATGACACCACGTAGAAATGTGTGCAAACCGAAGACAGCACTGAATATAGTCCAGATTATCTAATCCTGATCCAGTTACTTGATCGAGTGTTCACACGTCTGAAGACAGCAATGGCACAATGTCCAGCTGTGTGGGTTTTGCAGACACAAGTCTAAACAATTCAGCAACATTTTTACTCCATCGTCACTTTTATGCAGCGATATTGGTCTGTGGCATAGCAGATACTGTGGATTGATGGCTTTAGAACCAAAGACAGATAAAATTACTTCATGAATGCTTTTGACTGGTAAAGTTCTAGCTGGGCTTTGGTGGGGAAAAAAGTCTCATGTCGCTTATTATTATGATGCAACAAATCATAATCAAGCGCCTGAATTTGATGAACAATAACATGTTGAACTGACAGCAAGTTCAAAGCACTAATGCATTTGTAATTGTTACAAAACAGTGTGGATTCCAAAATTTTGCAGTTAGAACACTTTGCCACTAGATGGTGATATATAAGCATGAGAGGAGTCGATGTGTTTTTAGTGGTATCTTGTTTCTTGGGTTACAGCCAGTAGTCCTGGGATGCTGATTATACTGTGGGAGTAATTAACTTGTGTTTCTTATATTTGGAGAATTCCCAGGAAGAACACAAGGTACACATCATTAAAGCTGTGTGGACTGTGATGTGATAAGACTGAAAAACACTGGCTGAGATGCTGTTTTTACCTCGGATTGCCCCAAAGTGATTGCTGTGGCACATGCATGTCCTTCAGGGTGTAAAGTTAGACGAACTTTGTTTGTACGTTGTATCAAAAGAGAGCAAAGGGCCGGTCACATCACCGCCACGCCAAGGCACACAATGCCTAGTGCAGTGTAAGCAGTTGGGTGAGCAGAGAGCCAGGGCTGTGGTGTGTGGAAAATGCTAGTGGAGGCAGACAATGCAGAGGTCCGAGGCCTGACCAGCCCTCAGAGGGACAGGGGTCGCCTCACTGCGACAACAGCCCCTGTCTCCCTCCCTTCTTTTTCTTTTTGTGAGCTGCCACAGGATGGGCTCAGGGAGGACGGTGAAGTTTGCCCTGTGCGAGGTGCTGCAGTTTGCAGGCCTGTGCGTGCCACTCTTCATCGTCATGCAGAGGTTTGCTGTCATCGTTGCAAAGGTCAAAACATCAGCACAACCCCCCGGAGACGGCAGCACTGCCTACTGGTTGATCGTGGCCTCCTCTATTGCCTATGTGACCTCCACTGCCCTGCTGGTCTGGGTACCCCTGAAGTATATGGTCTTCATGAAGAAGAAATTTCTCATAGGGAGGAAGAAGTGGTGAGTTTCTCAGACATGAAGATTGAGAACTGGTCCTAGTTGTGTATGCTCAGCAGCTGGGATCCCAGTGCTGTCCTACGGGACCGAGACATGATCAGCTGGTTTGAGGCTGAACTGGCCTGTGACTGGTTTGGACAGAACTTGGCTGGTTAATACCAGGCTTTAGCAATTCCTGTCATTGACTTTAACTTCCTCCCTTGTTTTCTTTCTTGCCCTTCTTTTGTCTTTATATCAGGAGGCCAGTGACCCTTGTTTATGTGATCCTATCCACATTACCCTGCTTTGCCTTTCTCATTGCCAGCTCTGAGGTACAACACCCAACAGATTGTTTCTCACTGTTTTCATTTGTCATATCAAGTTTATCTCTGCTCTGATCATGAACTTTGACCTGTATGTTGCTATACTTGTAACATGACTCAACCTGTAATTGTAGATCCTTTGTAGTCATGTTGGGTGATTGTGTTTATACTCCAAAGAAGTTGCTAGTAACTTAAACATATATCTATTACAACACTGTGTTTGGGAACATGGTGAATGACAGGATTCACAGTATTACTGAAACAAATGTGATGAGCTGTGAGAATCCTTATGGATCTCAGGAGAGGACTATCTAGCCTTATGGATAAGGAGCTACTGATAAGCAGCTTGGTTCCTCTTCCTGTCCATGCTGTCCTTGTCAAATCATGTCCACGAGGCACATTTTCACTTCCTAACTGGCTGCAGCCCAGACCTTATTTGCCCTTTTTTGTGGCATTCTTTAAAGCTTAAGCAAACCTTTTGACCTTTGCTTATCTAGAGGCTTCAACATAAGAGCCATAAATTCTGCTAAGATGAGCAACTCGTCTGTTTAGGGCTGTGTAAAATGCCCTTGCTGCAAGTGACAAATCCCAAAATGTTTATTACCATTGAGGTGAACCAGTGGGCTCTGTAAAGATTAACAGTGAGTAAATAATTACAGTACTCAGTCAGGCTAACGATTTTACGGTTGTTTATCCAGGTTCAGATAAATAACAACCTGAAACACGATACATTCCCTGAGCTCCCCGTGTCACTAGTCCTCTTCTCGCTCATCTGCATTGACGTTGTGGAGAGGATACGACACTGCAGGCTGACCGGCCAGGGTGAGCGC